TCCCAGATCAACTGCACCTGCGTAAGCAGAATGATAAATTATATAATTGTTAGATGTGATGATTGTTTAGTGATTAAATATAATTATTATATAACTATAAGAAGAATAATGAGAAACTATGTTGGAAATTCAGAGTGGGGCTAAGCTTACTGAAATCTATGTATACGATAGAACAATATAAGTTTAATAATTAACATGAAAGTTATATAACAATAGAGTATAAAAACATGATCATCTTGGATGTATGGTCGGGATCAGATTTGGGTAATACCCCGATTCCCAGAGCTCTTTAGTAAAAAGCACTGCATATAATCGGTCTGTGATTATGTGTTTTTGAACACTAACAATCTAAAGTCGCCTCGCACACTGACCCCTGAGGCGCGTAAGGCGTTGGAGGTGGCTCAGCAAGCTGTTTCGGCTTGTCAGGTTTATCGCATTGATCCCTCCGTTGATGTCACTGTGTTCATCACCACTCCAGATTCGCATCCCGCTCCATCATTGGCCAATGGAGTGACAAATGGTCTGATTCCTTGCACGTTTTGGAATGGGTTTTCCTGCCCCATCAGCCGCAGAAGACGGCAACTACATTGTTTGAGCTGATCGCTCGCTTGGTAATCAAATGCCAGAAACGGTGTTTGCAATTGATGGGTGCGGATCCCGCAAAGATCACACTCCCGGTGCAACGGGAGGATTTTGACTGGAGCTTTGCAAACAGTGTGTCCCTGCAGAGTACTCTGGAAAGCTTTTCAGGGCAGATAATTTATCATCTGCCCAGCCATTGGCTGTTGCATATGGCGAAATCCACACAAATCTCTTTGTGGCCCAAAACCAGTCAGGAACCCGTGCAAGGAGCCACCGTCTTCACTGACGGTTCAGGGAGAACAGGAAAGGCCATTGTTACCTGGAGGGATGGATCTGGGTGGCAGGTTCTGGAAGCTCATGAGGATGGGTCAGCCCAATTGGTTGAACTGAGGGCTGCTGTCATGGCATTTGAGAAATTTTTCCAGGAACCTTTCAACTTGGTCATGGATTCCACCTATGTGGCTGATATCGCACAGCAACAGGTTGGGTCATTCGGTTTTGAAGGAAGTCAGTAATCACAGAATCACACACAGAATCACAGAATTTCTAGGTTGGAAGAGACCTTTAAGATCATCGAGTCCAACCCATGTTCTAATACCTCAACTAGATCATGGCACCAAGTGCCACATCCAGTCTTTTTTTAAACAAATCGAGGGATGGTGACTCCACCACCTCCCTGGGTAGATGATTCCAGTATTTGACCACTCCTTCTGTGAAAATCTTCCTCCTTAATTCTAGCCTGTATCTCCCTTGGTGCAACTTGAGACTGTGTCCTCTTGTTCTGTTTGTTGTTGCCGGGAGAAAGAGACCGACCCCCAGCTCACCACAGCCGCCCTTCAGGAAGTTGAAGATCCTGCCTTGTTTCATTTACTGAAGACCTTGTGGTGTGCCATTCAGGCCCAGGTTCATCCATTCTATGTTCTGCATATGAGGAGTCACATCAATTTGCCGGGCTTTATAGTGGAAGGTAACGTGAGGGCTGACAAGTTGGCTAACCCAGCGTGGGTAGCGCCTCAGCCTGATACATTTGCGCAGGCCAAGGCATCGCATGGGTTTTTCCACCAGAACGCACATACCCGGCAGAAGCAGTTTCAGCTGACGCCAACTGAGGCTCGTGACATTGTCGAGTCATGTGATGACTGCCACGCACTCGCTCCGCCTTTGCCGGCAGGGGTTAATCCCAGAGGCCTTAGGGCCTTGGAGCTGTGGCAGACCGATGTCACCCAGATTGCCGAGTTTGGCCGGCTCAAGTATGTGCATGTCACTGTGGACACGTTCTCCTCTGCGATGTGGGCTTCGGCTCGCACTGGGGAGAAGGCCCGTGATGTCCTCGCCCACTGGAGGCAGGCCTTTGCCGTTCTGGGCATACCTTCTACAGTAGGAGTAGTAGTAAAATCTATGTATTGTACAAGTGGCCTTGCCCCAATCCTGGTTGTTCTAGATGGGCCGCAGCTGTGATGTCCTTAATTGGGCAGCAGCTGTGGCCAATGAAGATAACTGGGATAAAAGGGGGTGGGTCTGCCCGTCAGGGAGAGCCTTGGAGGAGCCCTGAAGAAGAAGCAGGAACAACGCTGCTGTGAAGAGCTGCTTGTGAGAAAACCACTGAGAAGGTATGGGACTCTAGAAATATGAAAACAACAATATGAATACAACAATTGGTGACTGACCCCGACGTGATAGAAGATAGGACAGCTGAGAGCTGTGGCAGCCTGAGAGCTGGGACTCTAGAAATGTGATAATGACAAGTGGTGACCCCAATGTGATGTAAGATGGGACAGCTGAGAGCTGTGGCAGCCTGAGAGCTGGGATTCTAGAAATAAGATAACAACCATATGAATACAACAATTGGTGACCCTGACATGATAGAAGATATGACAGCTGAGAGCTGTGGCAGCCTGAGAGCTGGGACTCTAGAAATGTGATAACGACAAGTGGTGACCCCCACGCGATGTAAGATGGGACAGCCGAGAGCTGTGGCAGCCTGAGAGCTGGGACTCTCAGAGATTTGCGAGCAAAGCACCCCAAACCACCCCAAAATCCCCAAATTTTGTTGTCAAATCACCCCCCAAGCCACTCTAGAAATGTGATAACAACACCTTCTGCTGTGAAAACCAACAATGGTCCTGCCTGCGCATCACAGAAGGTGCGGCAGTTGCTGCAGCTGTGGGGTGTCTCGCACAAGTTTGGTGTCCCTCGTTCTCTGACTGTTAGTGCTCACAAACACATAATCACGGGGGATTATATGCGGTGCTTTTTATTAAGAGCTCTGGGAATCGGGGTATATTCAACCCAAATCTGACTCCGACCATACATCCAAAATGATCATGGTTTATACTCTATCATTATATAACTTTCATGTTAATTATTAAACTTATTTTGTTCTATTGTATGCATAAATTTAGCCCCCCTCTGAATTTCCAACATAGTTTCTCCTGATTCTTCTTATGGTTATATAATAATTACATTTAATTACTAAACAATCATCACATCTAACAATTATATAATTTATCATTCTGCTTACGCAGGTGCAGTTGATCTGGGAAAGCACAAAGCCTGACATTTTAGATTCTATCTTTAACTTTTTCCAGGGCTCCACTATCACAACTGGTCAAGCTCTTGTAGAATGCCCTCATGGTGCTCGGGAGTGGCTTCTTCAAAAACCAAAACGGGGAATGCAGGGTGAAACCCCGCACAGTTGGTTGGCAAAAGCTTTGTGCACAGTCAGTCATCTCACTGTGCCGCAGAATAATAAAATAAAAATCATAATATATTCTTTTTGATAAAAATAATAAAAAAATCAAATTTTTGTATTATTATTTTTTAATTTGTATTTATTATTATTATATTATTATAATTATATTTTTAATATTTATTCATATTCTTAATTTTTGAATGTGTTATTATATTTTTATTTATATTTATATATTTATATTTATATTTATATTTATATTTATATTTATATTTATTATATTATTGTAATTATTGTTATTTGTGGAATATTCAATTGTATTATGTTTTGAAATTTTGGTATTATTTTTTCATAATAATAACTCTCAAATCATCCTGTGATGCTGAATCACCATCTCTCGTTGCAGGCTGCGGACGAGGTACAAGGTTTCTTTTTCATATTGTTAATTTTATCTTTTTTTTCTTTTTTTAAATGGAAAAGGGTGAGATGTTACCCTGGTTTTGAAGATTTTCTAAGCCTTCTGACATTGACATTCTTGTGGTGAACTTTCTCACACAATTTCTGTAAATAACTCATGGTTTTGCATTCCTTTAAGGAGGAGGAGAAATTGATGAACTGTTGGTTTGTCCAGTGTCATTGGAGAGGTGGCACTGTCACCTTCCAGTCCACTGTCACTTTTGGAACTCTATAAATTATAAATGTTGGAGTCAGAAAATAAAGTTCACATTTTGTCACTTTTGGAAAATTATAAATGCTGGAGTCAGAAAATAAACTTCACATTTTTTCACTTTTGGAAATCTATAAATGTTGGAGTCAGAAAATAAAGTTCACATTTTTTCACTTTTGCAAAATTATAAATTATAAATGTGGGAGTCAGAAAATAAACTTCACATTTTTTCACTTTTGGAAATCTATAAATGTGGGAGTCAGAAAATAAAGTTCACATTTTTACACTTTTGGAAAATTATAAACTATAAATGTTGGACTCAGAAAATAAACTTCACATTTTTTCACTTTTGGAAAATTATAAACTATAAATGTGGGACTCAGAAAATAAACTTCGCATTTTTACACTTTTGGAAAGTTATGAACTATAAATGTTGGGGTCAGAAAATAAACTTCACATTTTTTCACTTTTGGAAAGTTATGAACTATAAATGTTGGGGTCAGAAAATAAACTTCACATTTTTTCACTTTTGGAAATCTATAAATGTTGGAGTCAGAAAATAAAGTTCACATTTTTTCACTTTTGGAAAACTATAAATTATAAATGTTGGAGTCACAAAATAAACTTTGTCCATGTGAGACCGGGTGGGCCAGGGTCCAGAGCCGACCAGGTTGGATTCGTGCAAGAGCCCGAGACACACAGAATTCTTACCCCAAACCAGCCCAAAATCCCCAAATTTGGTGTCAAACAACCCCCAAATCCCCACATTTGGGGTCAAGCCACCCCAAACCCACAAAATTTAGGATCAAATCACCCCAAAATCCCCAAATTTGGGGTCAAATCACCCCAAAATCCCCAAATTTGGGGTCAAATCACCCCAAACCCCCAAAACTGGGCTGAAATCCTGTCCCAAATTACCTTACACCAACAGGGACTCGCTGCTTGGTAGGTGTGGATGGATGGGGTGTCCAGGGGGTGTCCATGGATGGTCAGCAGGTGGTCAGTGATGTCCATGGATGGTCAGTGATGTCCAGCAGGTGTCCATGGATGGTCAGTGATGGTCAGTGATGTCCATCTCTCAGTAGGCGTGGTTGGACACGAACAGGGACTCGCTGGCCGCCGCCCCCGCAGTGCCACTGGGGGTGTACTTACCCTGGCATGCCAGGGAGTTGGCCTGGGGACACAGGGGACAGCAGGGACATTAGGGACAGCTGGGGACAGCAGGGACACAGGGGACAGCAGGGACATCAGGGGGGTTGGGGACATTGGGGACATTGGGGACACCAAGGGTGTTTAGGACACTGGGACTGTTGGGGACATTGGGGACATTCAAGATATTGGGGACACTGGGGGTGTTTATGACATCGGGGACATTGGGGACATCAGGGACAGTAGGGGAAAGAGAGGGACACTGGGGACATCAGGGACATTGGGGACATTCAGGATGTTGGGGACATTGGGGGTGTTTATGACATTGGGGACATTGAGGGACATCGGGGACATCAGAGGGTGTCGGGGACACTGAGGCCATGAGGGGCATTGGGGACATTGGGAACCTTGGGGACACAGGGGACATCAGGAGTGTTGGGGACACTGGAGACATTTAGGGACACTGGGGACACTGAAGACATTGGGGACACTCAGGGTGTTTGGGACATTGGGGGTGTTGGAGACATTGGGGACATTGGGGACACTGGGGCGCTGCTGTCCCCAAGGTCCCCAGTGACCTCCTGGGCCACCCTGTCCCTGTCCCTGTCCCTGTCCCTGTGTCCCCACGAGGTGTCGCCCCCAAATCTCCTCCTGCCAACCCCACCACTCCCACACCCTGAACCCCTCAATGTCCCCAAGGTATCCCCAATGTCCCCAAGACCCCAAGTGTCCCCACCTGACCCTCTGAACCCACCTCAGATGTGGCTCCTCTGCTCTCACCTCTCCATGGTTGACCCAGCTCAAGTCCCCTCAATGTCCCCAATGTCCCCAAGTCCCTGAGGTGTCCCCAAGGTGTCCTCAAGGTGTCCCCAATGTCCTAAGGACCCCAAATGTCCCCACCTCACCCTCTGAACCCATGTTAGATACGGTCACCACCTCTCCATGAACCCATGTTAGATATGGTCACCACCTCTCCATGGTCAACCCAACTCAAGGAACACCCAACGTCCCCAAGACCCCTCAATGTCCCCAATATCTCCAAGGTGTCCTCAAGGTCCCCAGTGCCCTAAAGACCCCAAACATCCCCACCTCACCCTCTGAACCCACCTCAGATGTGGCTCCTCAGCTCCCACCTCTCCATGGTCAACCCAACCCAACAAACACCCAACACCCCCAAATCCCCAAGACCCCAATGGTGTCCCCAACGTCCCCAAGGTGTCCCCAATGTCCCCAGGTGCCACCTACCAGGGCTCTCTTGATGTACTCCTCCTGGGCCGCCTTGGTGTTGTCCTTCTTGCCGCCCCAGGCCTTGAGGGCCGAGGCCTGCAGGGCGTGGCCGTACGAGAAGGTCAGCGCCCAGGGACGCGGCAGCGGGCAGCGGTTGATGGCGTTGAGGTTGATGGAGGCTCCTCCTCACTCTTACCGCCCGACAGGAACGTGACCCCTGCGGGGACATCGAGGGGACACTGTGACACCACTGTGACATCACTGTGACATCACTGTGACAGCATGGAAACATTGGGATAAAGCAGGAATGGCACAGAAACACCCCAGGGACACTGGGGACACAGGGGACACTGGGGACAGCGGTTGATGGCGTTGAGGTTGATGGAGGCTCCTCCTCACTCTGGCCACCCGACAGGAACGTGATCCCTGCGGGGACATCGAGGGGACACTGTGACATCAGCCTGGGGACACTGGGACAGCCTGGGGACAGCCAGAGAGCTCAGGGACACTGGGGACATTGGGGACAGTGGTTGATGGCGTTGAGGTTGATGAAGGCTCCTCCTCACTCTGGCTGCCCGACAGGAACGTGATCCCTGCGGGGACATCGAGGGGACACTGTGACATCACTGTGACATCACTGTGACATCACTGAAACATTGGGATAAAGCAGGAATGGCACAGAAACACCCCAGGGACACTGGGGACACAGGGGACACTGGGGACAGCGGTTGATGGCGTTAAGGTTGATGGAGGCTCCTCCTCACTCTGACCCCCCGACGGGAACGTGATCCCTGCGGGGACACTGAGGTGACACTAAGGTGACACTGACCTGGCACGGCGGGTGGCACCGTCCTGTGCAGGGTGGTGACTGTGGCCATGGCACACAGTGACAGTGACAGTGACACAGTGACAATGACAGTGACAATGACACAGAGGTGACAATGACAATGACAATGACAACGACAATGACAATGACACTGATCTGGCACGGCGGGTGGCACCGTCCGTCTCAGCGCGGTGACCGTGGCCATGGCACACAGTGACAGTGACAATGACAATGACAATAACAATGGCACACAATAACAATGTCACAGTGACAGTGACAATGACACAATGGCAATGACACAATGGCAATGACAATCACAATAACAATGACAATGAGGTGACAATGACACACAGGTGACACAGAGGTGACACTGACCTGGCACGGCGGGTGGCACGGTCCATCTCAGCGCGGTGACCGTGGCCATGGCACACAGTGACAGTGACAGTGACAATGACAATAACAATAACACAAGGACACAGAGTGACAATGACAATGACACTGACAATGACAATGACACACAGGTGACACTGACCCGGCATGGCGGGTGGCACCATCCGTCGCAGCACGGTGACTGTTGCCATGGCACACAGTGACAGTGACAGTGACAATAACAGTAACAATAACACAATAACAATGACACAGTGACAATGACGCAGGTGACAATGACACACAGGTGACAGTGACACTGACCTGGCACGGCGGGTGGCACGGTCCGTCGCAGCGCAGTGACCGTGGCCATGGCACACAGTGACAGTGACAGTGACAATGACAATGACACAATGACAATGACACAATGACACAGAGGTGACAATGACAATGACAATGACACAGGTGACAATGACACACAGGTGACAATGACACTGACCCGGCACGGCGGGTGGCACGGTCTGTCGCAGCGCAGTGACCGTTGCCATGGCGATCTCCTCGGGGCTGTACTTGGTGGCACAGGCGTGTCCCGCTGTCACCATGTTGGGCTTCAGCAGCGTCCCCTCGAGGTACACGTGGTGGTTACTGAGTGCCTTGTACACGGCTGCCAGGACCTGGGGACATCATTGGGGACATTGGGGACATCATTGGTGACACATGGTGACATCATTGGTGTCCCCTCGAGGTACACGTGGTGGTCACTGAGGGCCTTGTACACGGCTGCCAGCACCTGGGGACATCACAGGGCCATGGTGACACTGGGGACACCATTGGGGACATTGGGGACATTGGTCACTGAGCGCCTTGCACACGGCTGCCAGCACCTGGGGACATTTGGGACATCACTGGGGACATCATTGGGGACATCACTGGGGACATCAATGGGGACATCATTGGGGACATCACTGGGGACATTGGTCACTGAGGGCGTTGTACACGGCTGCCAGGACCTGGGGACATTGGGTCATTGGGGACATCATTGGGGACATTGGGGACCCTGGGGACATTGGTCACTGAGGGCGTTGTACACGGCTGCAAGGACCTGGGGACATCATTGGGGACATTGGGGACACTGGGGACATCACTGGGGACATTGGGGACATTGGTCACTGAGGGCATTGTACACGGCTGCCAGCACCTGGGGACATCATTGGGGACACATGGTGACACATGGTGACATCATTGGTGTCCCCTCGAGGTACACGTCATGGTCACTGAGCGCCTTGTACACGGCTGCAAGGACCTGGGGACAGCACTGGGGACATTGGGGACATGAGGACATCATTGGGGACATTGGGGACATAATTGGTGACACATGGTGACATCATTGGTGTCCCTTCGAGGTACACGTGGTGGTCACTGAGGGCCTTGTACACGGCTGCCAGCACCTGGGGACATTGGGGACATCACTGGGGACATCACTGGGGACATTGGGGACATTGGGGACATTGGTCACTGAGGGCCTTGTACACGGCTGCCAGGACCTGGGGGTGACACTGGGGACATCACTGGGGACAATCCAGGGACATCGGGGACAGCACTGGGGACACAGCAGGTGCCACCAACTCCTGTCCAGGTGCCACCAAACCCCCTCAGGTGTCACCAAACCCCCCAGGTGCCACCATCCCCTGTCCAGATGCCACCTCCTGGTGTCACCAACCACCACAGGACACCAGGAGGTGACACCGGGACAGTTTGGGGACTCCTGGAGGGGACTCAAAGCCACCCAGGTGCCACCAAACCCCCTCAGATGCCACCTCCAGATGCCACCAAACCCTCTGGTGATGCCACCAAATTCCCTCAGATGCCACCTCCCGGTGTCACCCCGCCCCTGGGGACACTTGGGGACACCTGGGGACACTCTGGGGGTGGCACTGACCTTCTCAGTGACGTACTGGCACGTCTTGAGGTCGTGGTCACGGTCAGGGAGGATCTCGGGCTCCACGATGGGGACAATGCCGTTCTGGGGACAGCGGGGACAGGGGGACATGTCAGACAGGGGGTACACTGGGGACATTGGGGACATCAGGGGGGATTGGGGACATTGGGGACACGATGGGGACAATGCTGTTCTGGGGACACCGAGGGGACAATGGGGACATGTGAGACAGCGGGGACACTGGGGACATTGGGGACATTGGGGACACAATGGGGACACTGGGGACACGATGGGGACAATGCCGTTCTGGGGACAGCGGGGACAGGGGGACATATCAGCAACCAGGGGACATTGGGGACATTGGGGACACAATGGGTGGGGTGGAGACAGCAGGAGGGGAGTCCAGAGCACTGAGGTGCCACCAAAATTGGTCTAGATGCCACCAAAGCCTCTCCAGATGAACCAAACCCAGCCTAGATGTCACCAAACCTGTCTATATGTCACCAAAACCATCCCTAAGTGTCACCAAACCCTCTCCAGATGCCACCAAACCCCCTCTAGATCCATTAAAACCTTTCTAGATGCCACCAAAACCCGTTCCAGGTGCCACCAAACCTGGTCCAGATGCCACCAAACCCCTCTAAATGGACCAAATCCAGCCTGGATGTCACCAAACCCTCTCCAAGTGCCACCAAACCCTCTCTAGATGCCACCAAACCAAGCTTAGATGCCACTAAATGCTGTCCAGGTGTCACCAAATCTGGTCTAGATGCCACCAAACCATCTCTAGATGCCACAACACCATCCATAAGTGTCACCAAACCCTCTCTAGATGCCACCAAACCTGGTCTAGATGCCACCAATCCCCTCTAAATGGACCAAACCCAACCTAGATGCCACCAAACCCTCTCCAATGCCACCAAATCCTCTCCAGGTGCCACAAAACCCCCTCTAAGTGCCACCAAATCCTGTCTAGATGCCACCAAACCCCCTCTAGATCCATTAAAACCTCTCCAGATGCCACCAAACCCCCTCCAGGTGCCACCAAATCTTCTCTAAATGAACCAAACCCTGACTAGATGTCACCAAACCCATTCCAGGTGCCACCAAACCCTCTCTAGATGCCACCAAACCCTCTCCAAGTACCACCAAACCATGCTTAAGTCCCACCAAACCCTCCCCAGATGCCACCAAACCCCCTCTAGATCAATTAAAACCCCTCTAGATGCCACCAAATCCCCTCCAAGTGCCACCAAACCCCCTCTAGATGTCACCAAACCCCCTCCAGATGCCACCTCTTGGTGTCACCTGCCCTGCAGCTCCCTCCCTGCACCCTGGGGACCCTTGGGGACCCTTGGGGACAGTGTGTGACCTGCTGGCAGATGCTGGCGTAGCGCGCCAGCACATTGGCATTCTCCATGGACCTGAGTCACCTCCTGGTGTCCCCAAACCCAGCCTAGATGGCACTAAACTCTCTCCAGAAGCCACGAAACCTGGTCTAGATGCCACCAAACCATCCTTAAGTGCCACCAAACCCCCTCCAAGTGCCACCAAACCCTTCCTAGATGCCACCAAACCCCCTCCAGATGGACCAAACTCTCCAGATGCCACCAAACCCCCTCTAGATCCATTAAAACCTCTCTAGATGCCACCAAACCCTCTCCAAGTGCCACCAAATCCTCTCTAGATGCCACCAAACCTTCTCCAAGTGCCACCAAACAATGCTTAAGTCCCACCAAACCCTCTCTAGATGTCACCAAACCTGCTCCAGATGCCACCAAACCCTCTACAAGTGACACCAAACCCAGCCTAGATGTCACCAAACCCCGTCTAGATGCCACCAAACCCCCTCCAGATGCCACCTCTTGGTGTCACCTGCCCTGCAGCTCCCTCCCTGCACCCTGGGGACAGTTGGGGATAGGGTGTGACCTGCTGGCAGATGCTGCCATAGCGCGCCAGCACGTTGGCGTTCTCCATGACGGCGAGGCGCGTGGGCGTGTGCGCCGTGATCTTGAGCACGCAGCGCCACTTGGCAAAGTCAGTGCCGTCCTTCTTGTACTGGGCACAGCGCTCCATGAGACCATCGAGACCTGGGGACAGACAGGGGACATCATCGGGGACATTGGGGACATTGGGGACATTGAGAAAAAATTTGGAAAAAAATTGGAGAAAAAACAGTGAAAAAGCAAGAAAAAATGATGAAAAAATGAGGAAAATTTGTGGAAATTTGAGAAAACAATGGGATTGGGGACATTTGGGCCATTGAGAACAAACAGTGGAAAAACGAGGAAAAGCAGTGAAAAAATGAGGAAAATCGGTGGAAAATTGGGAAAAAATGGGATTGGGGACGTTGGGGACGTTGGGGACATTGAGAAAAAATTTGGAAAAAAATTGGAGAAAATTTGAGAAAAATAGATGAAAAAACGAGAAAAAACGGTGAAAAAAAGGGGAAAATCGGTGGAAATTTGAGAAAAAATGGTGGAAAATTGGGGAAAAAATGGGATTTGGGACATTGGGGACATTGAGGACACTGGGGACATTGGGGACATTGAGAAAAAATTTGGAAAAAATTGGAGAAAATTTGAGAAAAAACGGTGAAAAAATGAGAAAAATCGGCAGAAATTTGGGAAAAAATGGTGGAAAATTTGGAAAAAATAGCATTGGGGACATTGGGGACATTGGGGTGAATGGGGACACGGGGGACATTGGGGACATTGGGGTCAATGGGGTCAATGAGGACATTGAGGTCATGGAGGACCTGGAGAGCGTTGGGGACACTGGGGATGTTGGGGACATTGGGGACATTGAGAAAAAATTTGGAAAATAATTGGAGAAAAATCTGAGAAAAAACAGTGAAAAAAAGAGGAAAATTGGTGGAAAATTGGGAAAAAATGGGATTGGGGACATTGGGGTCACTGGGGCCATTGGGACATTGGGGACGTTTGGGACACTGTGGACACAGGGCACTGAGGGAGCTCCAAGAGCCTTTCCAGCCTTGGGGACATCGGGGACATCATCAGGGATTGGGGACATTGGGGATATGGAGAAAAAATGGGGGAAAATTTGGAAAAAAAGGGTGAAAAAACGGTGAAAACATGAGGAAAATCGGTGGAAAATTGGGAAAAAAATGGGACTGGGGACATTGGGGACACTGGGGACATTGGGGACATTGGGGACATTGAGAAGAAATGGGAGAAAATTTGAGAAAAAGTGGTGAAAAAATGAGGAAAATTGGTGGAAAATTGGGAAAAAATGGTGGAAAATTGGGAAAAAATGGAATTGGGGACATTGGGGATGTTGGGGACGTTGGGGGCATTGAGAAGAAATGGGAGAAAATTGGAGAAAAAAAGTGAAAAAGTTGGAAAAAATAGGGAAAAAATGGACGAAAAATGGGGAAAAAAGGCAGAAAATTGGGAAAAAATGGATTGGGGACATTGGTATAAAATGGGTGGGAAAAGGGACAAATTGGGATTGGGGACATTGGGGACATTGGGGACATTGGGGACATTGAGAAAAAATGGGGGAAAATTTGGGAAAAAATTGTAGAAAATTTGAGAAAAAACGGTGAAAAAATGAGGAAAATCGGTGGAAATTTGAGAAAAAAATGGTGGAAAATTGGGAAAAATTGGAAGTGGGGACATTGGGGACATTGGGGGCAATGAGAAAAAATGGGGGAAAATTTGGGAAAAAATTGGAGAAAATTTGAGAAAAATCGGTGAAAAAACGAGAAAAAACGGTGAAAAATGAGGAAAACGGCAGAAATTTGAGAAAAAATGGTGGAAAATTGGGGAAAAAATGGGATTGGGGACACTGAGAACATCGGGGGCATTGGAGTGAATGGGGACACGGGGGACATTGGGGACACTGGGGACATCAGGGTCAATGGGGACATTGAGGACATTGTTGTCATGGAGGACCTGGAGAGCGCTGGGGACACTGGGGACACTGGAGGTGTTGGGGACACTGGGGACATTGGGGACACTGGGGACATTTGGGACACTGGGGACATTGGGGACATCGGGGACACTGAGGACACTGAGGTCATGGAGGACCTGGAGAGTGTTGGGGACATTGGGGGACATTGGGGACATTGGGGAGGTTGGGGACATTGGGGACACTGGGGACACTGGAGACATTGGGGACACTGAGCACAGAGGGGTCTTCAGGAGCCTGTCCAGCCCTGGGGACATTGGGGAAATTGGGGACATCGGGGTCAATGGGGTCAATGAGGACACTGAGGTCATGGAGGACCTGGAGAGTGTTGGGGACACTGGGGACACTGGGGACACTGGAGGTGTTGGGGACACTGGGGACACTGGGGACACTGGGGACATTGGGGACATTGGGGACATTGAGAAAAAGTTTGGAAAAAAAGTGGAGAAAATCTGAGAAAAAACGGTGAAAAAAGAGGAAAATTGGTGGAAAATTGGGAAAAAAATGGGATTGGGGGCATTGGGGACATTGGGGACGTTGGGGTCAATGGGGACGTTGGGGGCATTGAGAAGAAATGGGAGAAAATTGGAGAAAAAAAGTGAAAAAATGGGGAAAATAATGGGAAAAAATCAGATGAAAAATGGGGAAAAAAGGTGGAAAATTGGGAAAAAATGGATTGGGGACATTGGTATAAAATGGGTGGGAAAAGGGAAAAATTGGAACTGGGGACATTGGGGACATTGGGGGCAATGAGAAAAAATATGAGAAAATTTGGGAAAGAATTGGAGAAAATTTTGGGGAAAAATTGGGGAAAAATTGGATGGAAAATGGGGCAAATAGGGCAGAAAATGGGGGAAGAAATGGATTGGGGACATTGGGAAAAAATGGGTGGGAAAAGGGGAAAATGGGATTGGGCAAAAATGGTGGGAAATTGGGAGAAATGGGATTGGGGACACTGGGGACATTGGGGACATTGGGAAAAAATTTGGAAAAAAATTGGAGAAAATCTGAGAAAAATCGGTGAAAAAACGAGAAAAAACTGTGAAAAAATGAGAAAATCGATGGCAATTTGAGAAAAAATGGTGGAAAATTGGGGAAAAAATGGGATTGGGGACATTGGGGACATTGAGGACATTGGGAACATTGGGGACATTAGGGACACTGGGGAATTGGGGAGATTGGGGACACTGGGGACACTGGGGACATTGGGGACATTGGGGACATTGGGGATGTTGGGGACACTGGGGACACTGGGGACATTGGGGACATTGGGGACATCAGGGACACGGGACCCTGTGGTGGCACGGGCTGGGCTGGGAGGGTGACACAGCAATGGGGACACTGGGGTGGCACTGGGGACACAGCTGTGACACAGCAATGGGGACACTGTGGTGCCATTGGGGACACAGCTGTGACAGGGACGGGGACACAGCTGTGACAGGGATGGGGACACCATGGTGGCGCTGGGGACACAGCTGTGACAGGGACGGGGACACATTGGTGACACGGGGATGGGGACACCATGGAGGCCCTGGGGACACAATGGTGGCATTGGGGACACAGTGGTGGCATCAGGGATACATTGGGGACACCGGGGTGACAAAGGAACAGGGACACTGTGGTGGCCTTGGGGACACATCGGGGACATTGCTGTGACAGGGACAGGGACACAGCGGTGCCCTTGGGGACAGGGCTGTGACAGGGACACAGTGGTGGCACTGAGGACACAGCTGTGACACGGGGATGGGGACACAGTGGTGGCATCGGAGACATGGCTGTGACACAGGGATGGGGACACCATGGTGGCCTTGGGGACACAGCTGCGGCATTGGGGACACGGACAGGGACACTGTGGTGGCATCAGGGACACAGCGGTGGCCTTGGGGACAGGGCTGTGACAGGGACACAGTGGTGGCACTGAGGACACGGTGGTGACACGGGGATGGGGACACCATGGTGACACAGGGATGGGGACACTGGGGTGACACAGTGGTGGCACGGGGGACACAGCTGTGACAGGGACAGAGTGGTGGCCTTGGGGACACAGTGGTGGCACTCAGGACACAGCAGTGACAGGGACACAGCGGTGACAGGGACACAGTGGTGACAGGGACACGGTGGTGGCACTGGGGACACCTTGGTGGCCTTGGGCACAGGGCTGGGACTGGGACAGGGACAGGAACAGGGACACCACAATGGCACTGGGGACACGGCTGGGGCAGGGACACAGTGGTGGCACTGGGGACACCACGATGGCCTTGGGGACAGGGACAGGAACAGGGACAGGGACACCACGATGACACTGGGGACATGGCTGTGACAGGGATGGGGACAGCAGTGACAGGGACACAGTGGTGGCCCTGGGGACACAGCGGTGACAGAGACATGGCGATGGCATTGGGGACACCATGGTGGCCTTGGGGACAGGGCTGTGACAGGGACAGAACTGTGGCAATGGGGACACAGTGGTGGCACTCAGGACAGAGTGGTGACAGGGACACAGCGGTGATGGGGACACAGCGGTGGCATTGGAGACACCATGGTGGCCTTGGGGACAGGGCTAGGACAGGGATGGGGACACAGCAGTGACAGGGACACAGTGGTGGCCTTGGGGACACCATGATGGCCTTGGGGACAGGGCTGGGACAGGGACAGTGACACCATGGTGGCCTTGGGGACAGGACGGTGACAGGGATGGGGGACACGGTGGTGACAGGGACACAGTGGTGGCACTGGGGACACCATGGTGTCCTTGGGGACAGGGGTGGTGACAGGGACAGTGACACCATGGTGGCCTTGGGGACAGGGCAGTGGCCTTGGGGACACGGCAGTGGCCTTGGGGGACACCATGGTGGCATTGGGGACAGGGCGGTGGCCTTGGGGACAGGGCTGTCACTCACCCTGGGTCGTGGTCTCTCCGTTGGTGCCAGCCAGGGGCACCACGCCCTTGTCCACCTGGGGACAGTGACAGCGTCAGGGACACCGGGGACACCGGCACGGCCCCCATGGCCCCAAGTGTCCCTGGTGTCCCCCAAGTGTCCCTGGTGTCCCCAAACTGTCCCTGGTGTCCCCAAATGTCCCCACGTCACTCCCTAAACCCACTTCAGATGTGCTTGGCCTGGTCCCACCATGGCCATGGTCAACCCAGCCCAAGGAACACCCAATGTCCCCAATGTTTCCAATGTCCCCAAGGTGTCCCCAAGATGTCCCCAAGGTGTCCCCAAGGTCCTAGAGACCCCAAGTGTCCCCAACATGTCCCCACATCACCCTCCGAAGCCACCTCAGATGTGGCTTCCATCTCTCCATGATTGACCCAACCCAAAGAACACCCGAAGTTCCCAAGCCCTCTCAATGTCCCCAACGTCCTCAAGGTGTCCCCAAGGTGTCCCCAAGGTCCTAAAGACCTCAAATGTCCCCACCTCTCCATGAACCCATGTTAGATATGGTCACCATCTCTCCATGGTCAACCCAACTCAAGGAACACCCAACACCCCTCAATATCTCCAACATATCCAATGTCCCCAATGTCCCCAAGGTGTCCCCAAGGTGTCCCCAAGGTGTCCCCAAGGTCCCCAAGGTGTCCCTGAGGTGTCCCCAAGGTCCTAAAGACCCCAAACGTCCCCATCTCACCCTCAGAACCCCTGTTAGATATGGTCACCACCTCTCCATGGCCAATCCAACTCAAGGGACACCCAATGTCCCCAAGACTCCTCAATGTCCCCAACGTCCCCAAGGTGTCCCCAGCATCCCTGAGGTGTCCCCAAGGTCCTAAAGACTCCAAACGTCTCCACCTCAGCCTCTGAACCCACCTCAGATGTGGCTCCCACTTCTCCATGATTGACCCAACTCAAGGAACACCCAACACCCCAAGATCCCTCAATGTCCTCAATGTCCCTGAGGTGCCCCCAAGGTCCCAAAGACTCCAAACATCTCCACCTCACCCTCTGAACCCGTGTTAGATATGGTCACCACCTGTCCATGGTCAGCTCAACTCAAGGGACACCCAACATCCCTCAATGTCCCCAATGTCCCCAAGGTGTCCCCAAGATGTCCCTAATGTCCTAAAGACCTCAAATGTCCCCACCTCACCCTCTGAACCCACGTTAGATACGGTCACCACTTCTCCATGGTCAGCCCAACTCAAGGAACACCCAACATCCCTCAATGTCCCCAATGTCCCCAACGTGTCCCCAAGTCCCTGAGGTGTCCCCAAGATGTCCCCAAAGTCCTAAAGACCCCAAATGTCCCCAAAATGTCCCCACTTCAGCCTCTGAATCCACTTCAGATGTGGCTCCCACCTCTCCATCCTCAACCAACCCAATGAACACCCAATGTCCCTCAATGTCCCCAATGTCCTCAATGTGTCCCAATGTCCCCAAGGTGTCCCCAAGGTCCCAAAGACCTCAAATGTCCCCACCTGACCCTCTGAACCCATGTTAGATATGGTCACTACATCTCCATGAACCCATGTTAGATATGGTCACCACCTCTCCATGGTCAACCCAACTCAAGGAACACCCAACGCCCCTCAATATCTCCAACATGTCCAATGTCCCCAGCGTCCCCAAGGTGTCCCCACGGTGTCCCCACGGTGTCCCCCACGGTGTCCCCAAGGTGTCCCCAGGTCTCACCTTGATGCCCACCAGCGCCCCCTTGTCCTTGATGACCTGCGGCAAGGGGCGCCCGTCGTCAGCCTTCTGGTACATGGTTTCATGGAACAGGATGGCGCCGCCGATGCACAGCTCCATGCACTTGTCAGCCGTGAACAGCAGCTGCCGGTACCAGCGCCGGTTCTCCTCCGTGTTCTCAGCGCCCACCAAGCTCAGCCCCTTGGCAATGCTGCCTGAGGAGGCACAGACCAGTATAAACCAGTTAGAACCAGTATAGACCAGTATGGACCAGTATCGACCAGTATGGACCAGTAGGAACTGATTAGAACCAGTATAAACCACTATGGACACCTATGAACCAGTACGGACCAGTATAAACCAGTCTGGCTCAGCCGCTTGGCAATGGTGCCTAAAGGGGGGCACAGACCAGTTAGAACCAGTATGGACCAGTATAAACCAGTATGGACCAGTATGGACCAGTATGAACTGATTAGAACCAGTATAAACCACTATGGATCCCTATGAACCAGTACAGACCAGTATAAACAGTCCGGCTCAGCTGCTTAGCAATGCTGCCTGAGGGGGCACGGACCAGTTAGAACCAGTATAAACCAGTATGGACCACTAAAAACCAGTATGGACCAGTATAAACCAGTATGGACCAATGAGAACCAATATAAACCACTATGGACCCCTATGAACCAGTATAAACCAGTCTGGCTCAGACACTTGGCAATGCTGCCTAAAGGAGGCACAAAACCAGTATAAACCAGTATGGACCAGTATGGACCAGTATGAACTGATTAGAACCGGTATAAACCACTATGGATCCCTATGAACCAGTACAGACCAGTATAAACCAGTCTGGCTCAGCTGCTTGGCACTGCGGCCTGAGGGAGGCACGGACCAGTTAGGACCAGTTAGAACCAGTATTAACCAGTATGAACTACTAAAAACCAGTATGGACCAGTATAAACCAGTATGGACCAACGAGAACCAGTATAAACCACTATGGACCCCTATGAACCAGCACGGACCAGTATAAACCAGTCTGGCTCACCTGCTTGGCCATGCTGCCTAAAGGGGGCAGGAACCAGTTAGAATCAGTATGGACCAGTATAAACCAGTATGAGCCAGTATGGACCAGTATGGACCTGTATAAATTGATTAGAACCAGTATAAACCACTATGGACCCCTATGAACCAGTATAAACCAGTCTGGCTCTGACACTTGGCAATGCTGCCTAAAGGGGGCACAAACCAGTTAGAACCAGTATGAACCAGTATGGACCAGTATGAACTGATTAGAACCAGTATAAACCACTATGGACCCCTATCAACCAGTATAAACCAGTCTGGCTCAGCTGCTTGGCAATGGTGCCTAAAGGGGGCAGGAACCAGTTAGAACCAGTATGGACCAGTATAAACCAGTATGAGCCAGTATAAACTCATCAGAACCAGTATAAACCAATATAGACACCTATGAACCAGTATAAACCAGTCTGACTCAGACACTTGGCAGTGCCGCCTGAAGGGGGGCACAGACCAGTTAGAGCCAGTATGGACCAGTATGGACCAGATAAACCAGTATGGACCAATGAGAACCAGTATAAACCACTATGGACCCCTATGAACCAGTACGGACCAGTATAAACCAGTCCGGCTCAGCCGCTTGGCAATGCTGCCTGAGGGGGCACAGACCAGTTAGAACCAGTATGGACCAGTATGGACCAGTATAAACCAGTTAGAACTGGTTAGGACCACTTAGAACCAGTAGAAATCAATGAGAACCAGTATAAACCACTACAGACATGTATAAACCAGTATAAACCAGTCTGGCTCAGCTGCTTGGCAATAATGCCTAAAGGGGGCACGGACCAGTTAGAACCAGTATAAACACGTATAAACCACTACGGACCAGTATAAACCACTATGAATCTATATGGACCAGTACAGACCAGTATAAACCAGTACAGCTCACACACTTAGTGATGCTGCCTGTGGGGGCACAGACCAGTGAGAACTAGTATGGACCAGTATGGACCACTAAAAACCAGTATGAACCAGTTAGAACCAGTATGGACCTGCTAGAATCAATATAAACCACTATGGACCCTTATGAACCAGTACAGACCAGTATAAACCAGTATAAACCAGTATAAACCAGTCTGCCTTGGCTGCTTGGCGATGCTGCCTGAGGAGGGCACGGACCAGTTAGAACCAGTATGGACTGGTATAAACCAGTACAGACCAGTACAAACCAGTATGGACTGGTATAAACCAGTATGGACCAGTACAAACCAGTATGGACCAGTACAAACCAGTATGGGCTGGTACAAACCAGTACAGACCAGTACAAACCAGTACAGACCAGTACAAACCAGTATGGACTGGTATAAACCAGTACAGACCAGTACAAACCAGTATGGACTGGTGTAAACTAGTACGGAGCAGTACAAACCAGTATGGACCGGTATAAACCAGTACGGACCAGTACAAACCAGTATGGACTGGTACAAACCAGTAGGGACTGGTATAAACCAGTACGGACCAGTACAAACCAGTATGCACTGGTATAAAACAGTACAGACCAGTACAAACCAGTATGAACTGGTATAAAACAGTACAGAGCAGTTAGAACCAGTATGGACTGGTATAAACCAGTACGGACCAGTACAAACCAGTATGAACTGGTATAAACCAGTACAGACCAGTTAGAACCAGTATGGACTGGTATAAACCAGTAGGGACTGGTACAAACCAGTATGGACTGGTATAAACTAGTACGGATCAGTACAAACCAGTAGGGACTGGGATAAACCAGTATGGACTGGTTTAAACCAATACGGACCAGTTAGAACCAGTATGGACTGGTATAAACCAGTATGGATCAGTACAAACCAGTAGGGACTGGGATAAACCAGTATGGACTGGTATAAACCAGTACGGACCAGTACAAACCAGTATGGACTGGTTTAAACCAGTACGGACCAGTTAGAACCAGTATGGACTGGTATAAACCAGTACAGACCAGTACAAACCAGTATGGACCAGTACAAACCAGTATGGGCTGGTACAAACCAGTACAGACCAGTACAAACCAGTACAGACCAGTACAAACCAGTATGGACTGGTATAAACCAGTAGGGACCAGTATGGACCAGTCTGGCTCAGCCACTTGGTGATGCTGCCTGAAAGGGGATGGACTGGTTGGAACCAGTATAAACCAGTATGGACCAGTATGAACCAATGCTGGCCAGTACAAGCCAGTCAGAACCAGTATAGACTGGTATGAACCAGTATGGACCAGTATAAACCAGTCAGGACCAGTAAGGACCAGTATGGACTGGTATAAACCAGTCAGGACCAGTCAGGACCAGTATAAACCAGTCAGGACCAGTATGGACCAGTATGGACCAGTATAAACCAGCATGGACCACTTAGGACCAGTCAGGACCAGTATAAACCAGTAAGGACCAGTATGGACCAGTATAAACCAGTCAGGACCAGTATAAACCAGTCAGGACCAGTATGGACCAGTATAAACCAGTCAGGACCAGTATAAACCAGTATGGATCAGTTAGAACCAGTATAAACTGGTCAGGACCAGTACAGACCAGTATAAACCAGTATGGACTGGTACAGAGCCCTCAGAACCAGTACAGACCAGTATAAACCAGTACAGGCTAGTATAAACCAGTATGGACTGGTATGGAGCCCTCAGAACCAGTACAGACCAGTACAAACCAGTATGGACTGGTATGGAGCCAGTACAAACCAGTGCAGACCAGTATAAACCAGTATGGAGTCGGTGCTGTGGGTGTGTTTGCGGTCTCCCCAGAAGCTCCCAGTCACCATCCCAGTATAAACCAGTACAAACCAGTACAAACCAGTATAAACTAATATAAACCAGTACAAACCAGTACAAACCAGTACAAATGAGGAACCCCAGCCAGCTCCTGGCATTGCCTTGGTGCTTCCCAGTACAAACCAGTGCCTCCCAGTACAAACCAGTGCTTCCCAGTACAAACCAGTGCCTCCCAGTACAAACCAGTGCCTCCCAGCATAAACCAGTGCCTCCCAGTACAAACCAGTGTCTCCCAGTGCTTCTTTATCTCTCCCAGTCTGTCCCAGTCCCTCCCAGTTCACTCCCAGTTCACTCCCAGTCCATTCCCAGTCCATCCCAGTTCATTCTCAGTCACTCCCAGTCTGTCCCAGTTTGTCCCAGTCTGTCCCAGTTCACTCCCAGTCCATTCCCAGTCTGTCCCAGCCCATTCCCAGTATAACCCAGCCCATTCCCAGTGTGTCCCAGCCCATTCCCAGCCCATTCCCAGTCCAAACCAGTATAAACCAGTATAAACCAGTACAAACCAGTGGATTCATCAGCAGCCAGGATGCCCTTGCTGGGTGCCACGATGCACTGGGCGATGGCCCCAGTCTGTCCCAGTATAACCCAGTATAACCCAGTGTGTCCCAGCCCATTCCCAGTGTAACCCAGCCCATTCCCAGCCCAAACCAGTATAAACCAGTACAAACCAGTGGATTTATCGGTGGCCAGGATGCCCTTGCTGGGTGCCACGATGCGCTGGGCGATGGCCGCCAGCTCCTTCTTCTGCTCAGGGGTCAGTGCGGGCACGGGAGGCGACATCGCGACAATGGGGGTGGCACTGAGGGGACGGTGGTAACGTCACAGGGGTGGCAGTGACATCATCGGGGCTGGGGGAGGGGCGGGGGCAGGCCACACCCGGGGGGCGTGCAGAGAGGGAGGGAGGGGGGACTGGGAGGGACTGGGAGGGACTGGAGTGAACTGGGAGCACTGGGAGCACTGGGAGCACGGGAGGCGACATCCTGACAGGGGTGGGTGGCACTGAGGGGACAGCGGTGACGTCACGGGGGTGGCAGTGACGTCATCGGTGCTGAGGGAGGGGTCTCAGAGAGGGAGGGGGGACTGGGAGGGACTGGGAGTGAACTGGGAGGGACTAGAGGGTTACTGGGAGGGGACTGGGAGGGACTGGGAGGGACTGGATGGGGACTGGGGAGGAACTGGGAGAGACTGGGAGGGACTGGGGGGTACTGGGAGGGGCCTGGGAGGGATTGGATGGGAACTGGGGGGGGAACTGGGAGTGAACTGGGATGGACTGAGAGAGGACTGGGAACACTGGGAAGGGATTGGGAAGCACTGGAAGGGAACTGGGAGGGGACTGGGAATACTGGAAGTGAAACTGGGAGTGACTGGGAAGCACTGGGAGTGACTGGGGGCACTGGGAGGGACTGAGAGTGAACTGGGAAGGACTGGGAGAGAATGGGAGGGGACTGGGAGGGACTGGGAAGCACTGGGGACACTGTGAGGGGACTGGGAGGAGACTGGAGAGAACTGGGAGTAAACTGGGAGTGACTGGGAGTGCACTGGGGTCACTAAGAGTGAACTGGGAGCACTGGGAGGGGACTGGGAGTGGACTGGGGGCCACTGGGAGTGAACTGGGAGCACTGGGAGCACTGGGAGCACAGGCAGGGACATCCTGACAGGGGTGGGTGGCACTGAGGGGACAGCGGTGACGTCACGGGGGTGGCAGTGACGTCATCGGTGCTGAGGGAGGGGTCTCAGAGAGGGAGGGGGGACTGGGAGCACTGGGAGTGAACTGGGAGGGCACTGGGAGCACTGGGAGGGACTGGGGACACTGGGGACACCGAGAGTGGAGTGAGGAGAACTCAGAGTGAACTGGGAGGGGACTGGAAGTGGACTGGGAGCACTGGGAGTGAACTGGGAATGAACTGGGGACACTGGGAGGAGATAAGGAGGGCACTGATAAGGACTGGGAGCACTGGGAGGGCACTGGGAGTGGTCTGGGGACACTGGAAGGAGACTGGGAGGGGACTGGGAGCACTGGGAGGGGACTGGGAGGGGACTGGGAGTGAACTGGGAGCGGTCTGGGGACACTGGGAGGGGACTGGGAGCACTGGGTGTAGACTGGGAGGAGACTGGAGAGAACTGGGAAGGACTGGGAAGTGGACTGGGGGCACTGGGAGTGAACTGGGAGGGACTGGAAAAGGTCAGAGAGCACTGGGAGCACTGGGAGGGACTGGGGGCACTGGGAGTGAACTGGGAATTAACTGGGAAGGACTGGGGACACTGGGAGGGGACTCGGAGGGACTGGGGAGCACTGGGAGGAGATCAGGAGGGCACTGATAAGGACTGGGAGCACTGGGAGGGCACTGGGGGCACTGGGAGTGAACTGGGACTGAACTGGGAGGGCACTGGGAGTGAACTGGGGGCACGGGGAGTGAACTGGGAGGGCACTGGGAGTGAACTGGGAGTGAACTGGGAGGGCACTGGGAGTGAACTGGGGGCACTGGGAGGGCACTGGGAGTGAACTGGGGACACTGGAAGGGCACTGGGGGCACTGGGAGTGAACTGGAAATGGACTGGGATTGAACTGGGGACACTGGGTGTGGTCAGGGGACACTGGGAGCGGACTGGGAACACTGGGAGGGGACTGGGGGCACTGGGAGTGAACTGGGAGTGAACTGGGAGTGACTGGAATAGGTCAGAGCACTGGGAGCAGACTGGGGACACTGGGAGGGGACTGGGGACACTGGGAGGGGACTGGGAGTGAACTGGGAGTGACTGGAAAAGGTCAGAGAGCACTGGGAAGGGACTGGGAAGCACTGGGAGTGAACTGGGAGGGACTGGGGACACTGGGAGGGACTGGAGGCACTGGGAGGAGATAAGGAGGGCACTGATAAGGACTGGGAGCACTGGGAGGGCACTGGGAGTCAACTGGGGGCACTGGGGGTGAACTGGGAACACTGGGAGTGAACTGGGAGGGAACTGGGGACACTGGGAGTGAACTGGGAGGGAACTAGGGGCACTGGGAGTGAACTGGGAGGGAACTGGGGGCACTGGGAGTGAACTGGGAGTGAACTGGGAGCACTGGGAGTGAACTGAGAACACTGGGAGTGAACTGGGGGCACTGGGAGTGAACTGGGAGTGAACTGGTAGCACTGGGAGGGCACTGGGGGCACTGGGGAGGGAGAACCCCCAGATTTTGGGGAAGAACCCCGGGATTTGGGGAAGAACCCCGGGATTTGGGGGAAGAACCCTGGGATTTGGGGAGGGGGAACCCAGGGATTTGAGCGGGGGAAAAAACCTCAGGAATTTTTGGGGAAACCCCAGGATTGGGAGGAAAAAACCCAAAAATTTTAGGGAAAACCGCCAGGATTTTGAGCTGAAAACACCAAAATTTTGAGGGGAAAACCCCAAGATTTTGAGGGGAAAATTCCCAGGATTTTAAGGGGAAACCCCCAGGATTTTGAGGGGAAAACCCCAGGATTTTGAGGGAAAAAACCCAAAAATTTTGAAAAAAACCCTGAAATTTTGAGGGCAAAACCCCAGGATTTTGAGGAGAAATACCCAGAATTTTGAGAGGAAATCTCCAAGTTTTCGAGGTGAAATCCCCACGATTTTAAGGTAAAAACTCCCAAAATGTTGAGGAAAAAACCCCAACAGTTTTAGGGAAAACCCCAAGATTTTGAGAGAAAACCCCCCAGGATTTGGAGAGGAAAATCCCAACATTTTGAGGGGAAAACCCCAGGATTTTGAGGGAAAAACTCCAAAACTTGGAGGGGAAACCCCCAAGATTTTGATGGAGATCTACCAAAATTTTGAAGGGAAATCCCCAAAATTTGGAGGTACAACCCCCAAGATTTTGAAGGGAAATCCCTGAAATTTTGAGGGAAATGCCCCAGGATTTTGAGGTGAAAACCCAAAAATTTTGAACAAAATCCCTGAAATTTTGAGGGTAAAACCCCAGGATTTTGAGGGAAAAACTCCAAAATTTAGAGGGGAAAATCCCAAGAATTTGAGGGAAAACCACCAAAACTTTGAAGGGAAATCCCCGAAATTTTAAGGGGAAACCCCCAGGATTTTGAGGTGAAACCCCCAAAATCTGCAAGGGAAACCCCAGGATTTTGAGGTAAAACCAACAAAATTTTGAAGGCAAATCCCTGAAATTTTGAGGGAAATTCCCCAGGATTTTGAGGTGAAAACCCAAAAATTTTGAAGGGAGATCCCCGAAATATTAAGGTTAAACCCCCAAGATTTTGAGGTGAAAACCCCCAGAATTTGGAGAAAAAAAATCCCAAAAATTCAAGGGAAAGCTCCCAGGATTTTTAGGTGAAATCCCCAAAATCTGAAAGGGAATCCCCAAGATTTTGAGGGGAAACCTCCAGAATTTTTAGGGAAAAACCCAAAATTTTGAGGGGAAAATCTCAAGACTTTGAGGGGCAAATCCCAAGATTTTGAGGGGAAATCCCCCAGGATTTTGAGGTAAAACCCCCAGGATTTTGAGGGGACACCTCCAGAATTTTTAGGGAAACCCCCAAGATTTTGAGGGGGAAAACCCCAGGATTTTGAGGGGAAAATCCCAAGATTTTGAGGGGAAAATCCCAAGATTTTGAGGGAAAATCCCCAGGATTTTGAGGGAAAAAAACCCCAAAATTTTGAGGGGAAAACTCCCAAATTTGGAGGTGAAAGCCCCAAGATTTTGAGGGAAAGTCCCAAAATCTGAAAGGGAAACCCCAAGTTTTTGAGGGTGAAAACCCCAAGATTTTGAGGGGAAAAAACCAAAAAAATTTGAACGAAATCCCTGAAATTTTGAGGGCAATACCCCCAGGACTTTGACATAAAACCCCCAGAATTTTGAGGAGAAAGCCCCAAGATTCAAACGGAAAACCCCAAGATTTTGAGGGGAAAATCCCCAAAAATTTGAGGGAAAATCCCCAGGATTTTGAGGTAAAACCCCCAAAATTTTGAGGGGAAAATCCCCAAAATTTTGAGGAGAAAGCCCCAAGATTTAAATGGAAAATCCCAAGATTTTGAGGGGAAAATCCCAAGATTTTGAGGAGAAAACCCCAGGATTTTGAGGAGAAACCTCCAGAATTTTTAGGGAAAAACCCAAAATTTTGAGGGGAAAATCCCAAGACCTGGAGGGGCAAATCCCAAGATTTTGAAGGGAAAAGCCCAAAATTTCAAGGGGAACCCCACAGGATTTTGACGGGAAAACCCCAAATATTGAGGTGAAAACCCCAAGATTTGAAAGGGAAGACCCCCAAGATTTTAAGGGAAAACCTCCAAACTTGTAAGGGAAAACTCCAAAATTTTGACAGGGAATCCCCCAGGATTTTGAAGTAAAAGCCCCAGAATTTTAGAGGAGAAAGCCCCAAGATTTAAACGGAAAACCCCAAAATTTTGAGGGGAAAAACCCCAAGATCTAAAGGGAAAACCGCAAGACTTTGAGGGTGAAAACCCCAAAATTTTAAGGTGAAACACCCAAAATTTAAAAATCAAACCCTGAAATTTTTAAGGTGAAAACCCCAAAACCTGCACGGATTTATGGGACAGGGAGGGACAGGAAAACCCCAAACCAGATAAAAAACCCTCAGGGGGCACCCACTGAGTGTCCGGGAGGGGAAACCTCCAAGATTTCCAAGGGAAAACGCCAAAATTTTGAGGTAAAACCCCCAGGATTTTGAGGGAAAACACCAAGATTTTGAGGGAAAATCTCCAGGATTTTGAGGGAAAAAACCCCAAAATGTTGAGGGGAAAACTCCCAAATTTTGAGGTGAAAACCCCAAGATTTTGAGGTGAAAACCCCAAG